ATCCTTGCATAATTTGGTAGCAGACAACAGATTGAACTTGAAATCAGGAACATGTAGAAAATTATGCAATATTATATTCTCATATAAAGTTAAAATTCTAATGTGCAGAACACTAATCTTACTACCATCTGGAATAGTGATAGAATTATGCAAGCCATGTAATTCTTTAAAATTAGAGAACAACTTTAAGTTGGTGCAAATATGGTCTGTAGCACCACTATCAATAAGCCAACCAATATTAAGAGAAGAACTGAGACAGATTTTACCTGCCAGATTGGCCTGAGCATCAACTTCAGAAGGTTGAGTGCCTACAGATTCTAATTGCTGTTTGTTCAACAAATCCAACAAATGATTATATTGATCAACAATGATAACTAGATCAGAAGCCTGATCTGCCTGAATCTCCTGTGTTGCATTGTTGCTTGACTCAGTCTGTTGAGCAGTAGCTACAACACCTCTCCCTTTTTGCCATACATTTTTCTTGAGATCTTCTGGATAGTCATGTAACTTCCATTAATTATCAATGGAATGTCTAGGCATGTTGCAATGATTGCAAAAAGTAGATGTAGATCTTTTGTATCCTGTCATAGGCCTAGTATTGTTGTTGTTGTTAGCTTGGAAAACTGATTTGGATTCAAGTTGTCTGAAGCCTTTGTTCAGTATCCTATCTTTGATCGTCCGGTTGAAGCAAAAGCCATTTCATTAGCATTTCCTTGGCTGTGTATGTTGCTGAGTTCTCTATGCCTTTCTTCTTGAATAATTAAGTAGTTTGTAGGCATGAATAAGATTAGATAAAGGATTCATCATGAGTATGTTTCCTCGGACAGCTAGCAAAATGCTTATTAAGTTTCATAAGAAACTGCACCAACCTCTGATCTTGTTAAATCTTGAAGATCTTTTGTCTAAGATTACATGTACACTGGTTGTATACACATATATGCAAAGGACTAGCATCATTTAACTCATCCCATAGCATCTTCATCTTAGTGAAAAATGCAGCAATTGAATTTGCACTCTGATGAGCATCTGATAATAATTGCTCAATTGAATACAATTGTGGTCTAGATGTATAACCATACCTATCTTCTAGGTCCTTCCAAATCTCTGCTGCAGTGTTGAAGTATAAGACATTGCGAGCAATAGTAGCATCTAAGTTGTACAGAATCCAGGAGATAATCATATCATTACTCTCTCCCATTGTTTGTAATTCACATCCTCATGATTAGGTTTGTGAATAATGCTAGTAACAAAACCTAGTTTGTTTTTAGCCGAGAGAGCAATTTTCATGCTTCTCTTCCAGTCAGTGAAACCTTCACCATTGAATTTATTCAAAACAAATTGCATGGAATTCATATCAGAAGGATGAATATAATAAGAGAAGAAGGATCTTGACCAATAGGAATGGGAATATGAGATTTTGATGCCATTTATTTAGCAATTTGCAGAATGTTTGATCTCAAATAGTAATGAAAAATGAGAGATTATCAAGAATTTGATCTCATAGTAGCAAACAAGAGCTTCTAGAACTCAGAATTATTTGCTAGAAACCAACAACAACTTGTAGAAACAGAAACAACAATCGAGAGAACTAAAAAAAATTAATTATTACAGTATGAATTTGAGTGATACCTCAAGATCAAGAACTAGAAGAAATTTGAAATGAAGAAAAACAATGAATTGCGGAAGCTTTGATTATGAAGATCGAGCAATTTAGTGCTCTGATACCATGATGAAATCTGCAAACGCAACAAATTTTCTTCTAAGAACTAGCAGAATTCTAGAGAGGGAATTAGAGAGAGAAGTTTGAGAAAAAGGAAATTTTATTATTGAAGTATGTAATAATATTACAACTCTATATCTATTTATAACTAATTTACAGCAATACGAATTAGTTACAATATACAACAGAATTTTGTTATGAAATAATTATGAACTGACATTTTGTTGTAACAGAATGCTAAGCTGTACAAGAGTCTATAAAAAACCTATAGAAGCATCTAGAACTATCTGGAGGTTCCCATAATACTTGAGAGCAGGAATGCCCCAATCCTTCAGCTAGTTGTTCTTTGATATTGGGAGTGGCAGCTAAGGTGAATGCAATAGCAGCAGTAAGAGCAAGAGTATCACCAACAGTTGGAGAACCCAAAACAATGTCTAAGTTCTAAACTGCTTTGGAGGGATGAGTGAAGTTGGGACTCCGGCAAGGTTTGGCTAAGGTGTCGCTATTGGTAGCAACGGTGTATTTTTTGTTGTTTGGGCTTTCAGTATTTGGTATGGCATCAAGCTTGTTATATATCACGGTGCTAGAGGTGGTAATGTGTTGAGTAATTAGGTTTTGATGATTATAAACTAATGATGAGTATGTATCTAACGTGTTTGTTAAGTTGTGCATAGAAAGTACAAGTTATGATTGGAACGGGATACAAGGAAAGGAACCTGAGCAACGTCAAGTATAGATATAAGGATCTTGAGCAATATAGGATAAGCAATAGAGGAACAAGAACAATGATGAGTATTATGCTTGATAAGCATGATGATGGCTACAGAATCATGAAGGTATGGTAACTATGTAAATAGGTTTTTGCATTTGTTAGCTTCATGAGGTAAGTACACTATGCATACATGAGTTGTATATGTGTAGGAGTATTTACATAAGCTTTAAGTTTAATTAGTTCTCTCACTTGAAGTTTATTTATGATAAATAAACTTTAATATAATCTTTATCTTAAGTGTTTATGTGAAGACATGAACTGACTTAGGTGAAGTCAATGGGTTGGAACATAGAAGACTTCAAGAGGAGTAAGAGAGAATGAATGAGCCTAAAGCAGGCTCTCCCACGAGAACCAAACCATGAAGGAACCTAAAGATATTCTCCAAGGAGATGCATAAGGAACCTTCGGCAGGCTTTCCCACGAGAGCCAAAGCATGTTCCCTAACAGGTACACACAAGGAGCTTCCTAACAGAAGCATGACAACAAGCTAAAGGGTGAAGCTTGGACTGCGAAGATGATAGCAAGTTTCATAAAGGAACCTAGTCTGCGAGTTCCAATAAGGAATGAAAAGAGTGACATTAAGTTCCAGTTAGGAACTTGGCCTACGGTTCCAGAAGTGGAACGTTTCCCCAAGATCTAGAATTCATCAATACTACAAAATTCCAGAACAAGAGTTTCAAAGAAATAACATGAAGACGGAGAAATCGAAGTATATCGCTCTAGGATTCATGTAAGTATGTTGGACATATATAAAAGTCAGTCTGGAAGAAGTCTAAAGAACAAATATGAACTTATGATAGTCAATGAAATTAGAGTTACTGATTTGTTAGAAACTCACAGACTATCAGAGTTCCATAACCTAATTAGAACTTAAGTCATAAAAATTCGGTTTTAATGATGTGTGTGTGTGTGTGTGTCTATATATATATATATATATATATATATATATATATGATATTTATTTTTTATAAATCCCTTTTGGAAAAAGATAAGTTATTTTTGGAAGTATTTTAAGCAAAAATAAGTTTAGAATAAAATATGATTTTATGATAAGTATATCTTTTAAAAAAGATAAGCTAGTATATTTGGAAAATATAAGTTTGGAATAAAATATGATTTTACAATAAGTATATATTTTGAAAAAGATAAGCTAGTATATTTGGAAAGTATAAGTTTGAAATAAAATATGATTTTATAGAAAATATATCTTATTATTATTGACAGAATATATTCTTAATAAAAAGATATATTTTAAGAAAACTTATTTTTGGTAAATATCTTTTAAACATATCTTTTGAGAATACTTATCTTTTACGAAAAGAAGAATTTGAGTGTACTATAAATATGCTCATATGTATTCATTCAAAGTTGAGGCTAACGAAGCTTAGTGGTCGTGCTTAATGGTTTCATCCTTCACCACAAAGCTAAGTCAAACCTCCCGGTCAAAGTTCCAGTCAGGTTTGGTTTCAGTTCGTCCAGTAAGTTCCAGACAGATCTTGAGTGTCCAGCATATTAGTTTTATCTCTTAATTCATTGACATGTATTTAGAATTATTCTTTGAGATCTTGTAATTGGGAAAAAACGGTTTTGAGTGTTTTATGTATTGGGTTGTGAGAGTTCGTGAGAAGTCTCGTTATCATAATTGTACGAGTGCAAAGTGTGAGCTTCTAGGGTGAACTCGAGTGAGCTTCTAGTGAGAGGCCGAGTGAGTAGTACTCAGGGAGTACGAGTAAATCTAAGTGAGGGGCTTAGGTTGGGTAGGATAGGGTACTATCAAGTAGCAAGTTTTTGGGTAGGAACATGTGAGAAAGATCTGTTTGTAATAGGTTGTAACTAGGAGTGTTTGGCCTATTATAGTGGATTGGTTTGGCTTGAAATCCCTTGGAAGGTCGAGGTTTTACTTCCAGTTGGGCCCCCTGGAAGGTTTCCTCGTAAAATCCTCTTTGCATTGTTTAAGTTCCTAACAGCTATCAGTTTTATATTCCACGAAAAGTAGGAACTAGAAACTTACTACAATTCACCCCCCTCTTGTAGTATATCATCCGAAATAACATAATATTTATACAGTTGGCGTTGCCCTTGCTTTGGGAGCACTGTAAGTCTTTTTCTCATTCTTCCCGTAAAATTATTTAGAGTAATTGCTGTGTTTCTTCATTCTTTCTTTGATATGTCCATAAATTTTAATTCGATTATTGCAACAAATAAATTAGCACAAGTATATGGGTCTCATTATCACATCAAAGACTTAGTGTGACAATTTCTCTTCTTAACTTTTATTGTTGTTTTCATATTTTCTTAATGTTTCAATGTTATTGACAAAGCTCTTGGTTCTGGTTTATCGAATATCAAGTACTTCTCAAAAGCTTTTTCAACTGGAGAGAAGATAATGGAAGTGACAAACCGGGTGCCAGATAATGACTCAGAAAAAATGGACGGATTGACCTTAGATAAAATTTCCAAGGAGATTGAGTTTTTTCATGTTGTATTTTCTTATCCTATAAGACAAGATTTAATAATATTTTGGGATTTCTCACTACTAGTTCCTGCAGGGAAGATAGTATCGTTAGTTGGGAGTGGTGGTTCAGGAAAATCCACAACAGTAGCTTTGATCCACAGGTTTTATAATCCACTTGGTGGGGAGATATTCTTAGATGGGGTATCTATTGATAAGTTCTAACTGAAATGGTTAAGATCACAAATGGGTTTAGTGAACCAAGAACCTGCACTTTTAGCGACTATAGTCGGTAAAAGATACAAGGAAGTACTGGGATCACAAGCTGGAAAGGATAACGCTGGCATACTGGCGCAGAAGAAAAAGAGCTAAATTACGGCTATTGGACAGGCTCCAGCTAGATCTGAACTGCTAGGAGGCTTGTTTTGTTTTGTGCATCCGAGACCTAACCATCCTGGAGTTGATCAGTTTGAGCTTCATTAACTTGGACTTGATTATCCTGGTAGGCAGTCGGCTCTTCCTCATCATCAGAGACCTCATAGCCTTGTTCAAGGGTCCATGCCTTGAAAGGGAGGTGGGGCCTACTCATTGAGCTGATATGCGTCATACACCTTAGTGGCGTAATCATATCGCATTTTGAGCACATCAAACTCAATGTTAGGGTAGAGAAGACCCCATGTAATGCTCATTTTCAACAACCAACCGCTTTTGCTCTTGGGAAACCTTAACCTTGTGTTGGTTCCTTTGTTGGACAAGCTCGACCCCCAGGCGGTTGACGTCTGCTCTCAGGTCGGCATTCTCCTTATCAGCACCCTCCACCTCCAAGGCCTTGAGATCTTACTGGGATGTCTTTAGACCCTGCTCAAGCTTAGTCATTCGCTCGTTAGCGGCATAATTAGCAGCCGTCAAGTTCCTTATCAGCTCCTCCTGTTTCAAATCTACTGCTTTAATTTCAACATCACATTGTATTTTACTGTAATCAGCAGAGTTGAGAGCTTAAATGGCCCTCTATTTAGCGTCATTTACCTCTTCTCTCTTCCATTTGAAGGGGACCCCAAACCCGTCTACCCTCAGCATTGCCTGAAAAGGGTTAGCAAAGTGAGTTAAAAACTATAAGGAGTAAGTTTCTAAGTAAAAAGTTACCTCATCTAGCAAGCCCTAGATCCGGTTAAAATCCACTACCTTCACATTCGGCAGGCGGCGCTAAGGGGGTATTTGCACCAAAAGAAGTACTTGGTGAGAAAGCAGCACAAGCGGCACCCGACTCGTGCCGGCTGCTAATCAAACCTTTAGGCGGATTGACCCGAGTCTTGACTCGCATATAGTCAACAGGCCATGGGAGTTTGATTCGTGTCTTACCTTAGACGCGAAGCTGAGGAGACTCCGCTTCAGCCGCTGCAGCGCCGACTGCAGTAGTGAGTGGCTCGCCACTCTTCGATGCCGTAGAGAAGTTTACCTTAGGTTTTCTCCACTCTGGGCAAGTGTTGAATATTTATACCCCTTCTCTAGAAACCCTTATCCCTAAACTTTCCTTTTTTTATTCTTTTCTAATCCCTTCCCTAATAAAACTTTACTAAAATAAAACTTTCTTAAATTAAACCCCATCTTAAATAAAATAATTAATTAAATAAACTTTCCTTTTATAAAATATTTGTAAACTTATTAAAATAAATAATTAAAATACTTTAAATAAAACCTTTCAATTTATTTAAATACTTCTGAAAATACTTATTTTAAATACGTATAAAAATACGAAGTATTACACATACCAATTCAAAGTTAGATGCTAGTGTTGTGGTAGTTATAGCTTCTAGTGTTTTCAGATCTAATTGTTTAGGCATATTGCACCAAAATAATATGATTCATTGAGGCATTTTGTCGAACAGTTTACTTATAAAGATATGTAGTCTACTAAAAAAAAACCAAATAACAATATCGGTCATCTATTTAAAATTTTAAAAATTTACAAATCAATTAGTTCTAAATTTCACTCAAAAAGTAGACTACCGTATAATTCATAAAGTTACACAAAAATCAATAACAATAATCAAATAATCAAAATCAATTCAATGTAAACAATATTTCATAGCTTTTAAATGGATTATCAAATACCTCAAAAGAAAGACCAATAATGTAATTGATGCACAAAAAAAAAAATCGTTATAAAACTCTGATTAGTACCTGATTTGAGGTCAAGTTTGCAAACTGGGTGAGAAGAGCGTCGCAAAATTCAGCAAATCCCCAAATTTAAAAATTAATCGCGGAACTTAAGCCTAAATTGAAAAAAAAATTAACGAAATACTAGTGAAATTGAAATTGGTGATTCGGAAAACAGAGGAAAACAAACATCTTACCTCAAAAGCTGCTTCATTATATTAGAGAAAGCTCGAAAGATGCATCAATGGAATAGATAAAGCTTGAAGGGCTCTTTAATGGAGGATTCAGACCACTTGTTGTAATGGAGGACAGAGAAAATGCTCCCTGAGAGAGAAACACGAGATACTGCACTTGATTGTTGGAGAATATGCTTGAGTGAATCTGGGCCGCTTATTAAACGCGCATCCAAGTTAGATCCAACGTCCCTAATTAGTTCCTATATATATATATATATATATATATATATATATATATATATATATATATATATATTTATTTATTTATTTATTTATTTGTGTGTTTCAAATGTACACACCCAAATTATCAATTGTAATTTAGTTTGAATTATGTTATATAATTTTCATTTATATACAAAAAAATGTGTTCAACAATTCCAAAGACATAAGAAAAATTTCTAGATCCGTCACTGCTTTTTAGCTACTTGGGATGACCTATATAGTGCCCTAACATATTGGGATTAAATTTTAATTATATGAGATGGGATATAGGCCTATTTTATTAGCCTTACTTTCATTTTTTTTTCTTTCTAGGTGAAGAGCAAATACCTAAAGCCGAGTGGAAGCTGTGATGCCAGAATGTAGAGGGAATATATTATATTATAAAACCGTAAAATCAACATAACATTGTGTGGATTCATTCTTCAATTTGAGACTTTGCGTCATATTTGGTCCATCACCTATAAAATTGACTCATTTCTACTATGTGAAATTTTCCAACCACTAATAACTCTTTGCTCTAAAATACTATACTTCATGCCGATAACCACTAATAACGACTTGTAAACTTCTCTATCAATTCATTGAATTATTCATGTCGATAACGATTTGTAAATTTCTCTTTTAGTTTTTTTTTTCCTTTCTAGGTGAAGAACAAATACAGAAAAAATACAGTGATAAAAGGAGGGAGGTATTGATGAAGGCTTTAGAAAGTTGCTAAGAGTTTCAGATTAGTTACTATCATTAATAGTATGTTTGCCACTATTCTTTTTTGTTTGCTTCGAGAATGAATATTATAACGGTGTACTCTTCTCTAATCAGTATGTTTTTACTATTATTTTTTATTTTAAAGTATTTTTGTAGCTAGGGTCATGTTTTCATGTGTATTGATGTATTTGTATTGTCTCTAACTATAATTGTAATATATTTCCTTATTGAAAACCGAATATTACTTATTTTTATTAATGTGATAATATGATTTAGGGGTGGGATGATTTTTAATTACTGATAATATAACTAAGGGGTAGGTTAGTAATTAAGTGTTTAATGATGGGTTAGTAAATATGCTTAATAAGATCACTATGTGTATTATTAAAAAGTAGGGCACCAATTTTGTAAAATAAAATTTTTACCATGCCACCATGTAGAATTTTGAGAGTTATTGTGTTTGAAGGTGAATTTCCAAATCTTTCCATTACACATGTTCATTTAACAATCTTTGTATTCCTTGCACTTGAAGTTCCTTCCTCAACTTTACTTTTCAGAACCAATTAACCAATCTCAATCTTTAAATTCCTTGCACTTGAACTCCCCCACCCCCCTCAACTTTACTTTTCAAAACCAATTAACCAATCTCAAGCTAAAACCTAGCTTCTTCCAAATTCATTCAACTTTATGGAAGACCATGCTTATTCAAAATAAATCATTATAAATACAAGTAGCCATAATAATTCATCTATAGTTTAATTTTCACTATAAAATTTCCTTGTGTCCTCCTATTTTATTCAATATCCACACACACAAATAAAAATAATAAACAATAAAAACTCGTCATTCGGTGACAATGACTATCCAATCGAGTTTAGTCAACACCACTGATCATGACCAATATATTATATTATATATATTATATATATTATATGTATTATATAATATATATTTGGTGTTTAGAGAGACACAAGGGAAGGGGTGAGAATCAATCATAAGATCTCCTAGAATCGGTTTGAAAGCTCCAACCACATGAGCTATTCCTCACTCTCATAATATATATAATATATTGGCCATGATCAATTTTATGTATATGTGTGTGTGTGTGCATTTTTTATATGTATATATATATATATATATATATATATATATATATATATATATATATAATCAAACTTATTTCAGATAATCATGTTAAATATTTACATAATAATAAAAATGTAATTAGGATGTCCCAAACGATTATAGAGTAGTCCCTAATAATAAACAAAAAAAAATGCTCTTAATGCATATATAATAATCAAATTAGGTTGTTCTAATAAGTATTATGTAGCCTCACTCAAGATATTTAAAGGTTATCATAATTAAATTAGGAAATCCTAATTAAGAATTACATAGTCCCAATATAGTATATATGTGATGGTTATTATTACAATCAAATTAGGCTGATCCAAAAACTGTTATGTAGTCTTAATCAAGAATATTTAAAAGTTATTACAACCAAATTAGCTAGTCCCAAATAAGTATTATGGAGTACTAATAAAAAATATTTGAATGTTATTACAATCAAATTAGGCTATCTCATCAATCAAGTAATATATAGTCACAAATCTCTCGATAAAGAATATGTTTAAAAACTTGTTACAATCAAATTAGGCAGTCTCATTAAGTATTGTGTAGTGTCAACTACAACCAAATAAGGAAGTCCTAATTAAGTATTATAGAGTCCCAATAGAAAATATTAAATCAAATTAGGCAGTCTCAATTAAGTATTGTAAAGTCCCAATAAAGAATATTTGAAGATTATTATAATCAAATTAGACAATATCAATTAAGTATTATAAATCCCAATATAGAATATTTGAAAGTTATTTATTATAATCAAATTAGAAAGTTTTCCAACCGTTCCTTTTTTTAAATTATTTTAATCTTTCCATTTATTGTACATATAAAACGAAGTAGTGAGTGGAAAGTGGATTCCAATTTTAATTTTTAGATATTAGAGAGAAAGTTGTTTTTAGACATCTATACTTAGTATTTAAAAATTATAACTAAGAAAGACACATGTCCCCATCCATTCTATTACACTTCTCTAACCATAGTGTCACATGTCATCTTACACTATTAATTTTTTATTACACCATTTTTTTTAATTCTTTCATTAAACTTATACTTCATCTTTCATAAACACTTCATCTCTCCCCTTTAATTCAATCTTTTCATGTTCTCTCTTTAATTTTAGCCCTTGCACCTTCTATTTAAGTCTTTTTTTCGATTAAAGTTCCAAAATTTTAATTTCTTTAATCATGTTTCTGATTACATATTATACCCTATGATGACTTACTGATATTTCCTCACTTATCTCTCAGTACAATTTTTCCGATTACATATTATACCCTATAATGACTTACAGATAGTTCCTCAATTATCTCTAAATATAATTTTACATGAATAACCCGTTGTAGACACCCATTTGTGTCTCCCCAAAACCAAACCCAGTGATGAGTACCTTTCGCATTGAATCATAATCGAATGAAGCGAAAGTGTGGAAAGTTTTAATTTCTTTTCTCTTCTTTCTGTTTTTGAAAACTTATTTTAAGAAAACAGATAATCCAGTTTGGTTGGTCCATGACATGGGTCCAATAGTAGCGTAGTTGTATGGGGCTTGACAAGACCTTTCCAACGATATATTATAAGCCCAATTCCGATAAATATTGGGGAAGTTATGGCCAATTTACTAAACTGGGCCCGGTTTGAGCCTTATATGCGGCCCAATGATCTAGGGGAGGGCCTAATATAGATTTATCATTCCTAATGCAATTAGGAATGGTTTTAGTCTTCTAGATTCTTCTAGAAAGTTCTTTTCATTCCTAATTCAATTAGCATTGATAAATTGACTTTTGTTGACTTTTCAGAGTTTTAATTAAAATCAAAGAGCATTTTTGAGAAAAATACGATTTTATCCTCCTGTACGACAATTTTTATCTGATTTTAGGAAAACGCGTAATTTTCCAGATCAGCGCCAAACGCCAGCTGTAGCGCCTGGCGCCAACACATGCGCCAATAGCCAGCGTCGGCGCTGGTTCTGTTTTCTGTGTGCCAGACTCTTTTTTAATATTTTTATTTTTTTGGCTGATTTTCTCTATAAATAATGTCGTAAAAACTCCGTTTTCATTCACCTACAACCAGTTTTCAATTCTTTCTCATTCTCTTTAATCATTCACCATCTCTCTCTCTCTTTTTCTAAACTAGCTTTTTACATACAAAATTCTGCATTCATTAGATCTAGAAACACCTAGCCATATTCGAAGTTGCCTTCGCCCTGAACGTGAAAGGTTTAATTTTTGAGGGTTTGGTCCCAATTCTCTATTTCAATTATTTAATTTAATTGTTTGTTTATTATTTTCCTTAAAGTTACTAACGTGTGTATTTTGTTATTAGAAAGAGATATGATGCATCAAAGTAAGTACTTTAATGGTTTTTATTGATGTTATGATGTAGAAATCATGCTTAGGTTGTTATTTTGATTCCTAGTATCATGTCTAGGGTAATTTTAATATCAAGTATGATTGTTATGATTCCTTTTATGTTCTTCCTAATATTTATGATTATTAGTACCATGTTAGGGTTAAAGCTTTGATTTTTATTGCTTTGTGACATGCTAGGGTTTGTTATTAATCTTGTTAATATTATGACTAGGATCTTGCTAATATTTTGCTTTAACATGATTATTATGATTATGATTATTATAATTATTATTATGATGATTATTATTATGATTATTGTTTTGATGATTATGAACATGATTATTGTTATAATTTTATTTTGATGATCATAATTGTTATTTTGATTATTATTATGTTGCTTGATATTTATTGTTATTGCTTGATCACGCCTTTTATGCATGTTTAAAGGGAATTGGTACTTGTAATCACGCTTATATAAGATAATTAATAATCTTGTTTAGGATTAATATGATTGATTATTCAAGTGATCGCCAATAATAGATTTATTTGTGCATTAATATTCAACCAACATAGATAAACAGGTTTAGGGTTAATCCTATTGATTGCATGTTAGTCAGAAAGCGCACATGAATACGATCACGATCAGAATAAAGTAGAGGCCTATTATTAGGGCAGGTTCAATCTCTTTTAGGTTGAATTTGTACCTTCTTCCCCGAACCCTTATTTGGTTCAAGACCTTATGGAGTTGACGATCTCTTGGATCGTTAAGGAGTG